CTTTCCTTCCAGTTAGGTTGAATTTTTTTACCTTGCACCTTTTTCTTTTTCTTTTTAATATGGTTTCATCCTTTTCTTATTTCATTGTTGATACAGTAGTTACCTGTCTTTTAGTTTTTTCATTGTCATTTTCTTTCCACCATTTTACTTCTTTCTTTTTTTTTCTTTCCGTCCTCTTGTTATTTGTTATTTATTATTTTTCTTATATTGCACCGCGCTTATATCTTAGGGGATGCGAAAAGGATGAGGAATGTGCTACTTTAAAAAAATACTTGTGCTACCAAATTTTTTTTGGGGGTTCCAGAAAATGTTGGCAGTGCTACCAAGAAAAAAAAAGTTAATTTCCAGCCCTTGAGTAAGGTTTAGTACAGTACCTAGCAAGTAAAGAAATAATGAAAATGTCAATGCCAGACCAGAAAAATCTACTAAATTAGGCTGGCCTTACACAGACTTACCAAGTTAGTAAAAACCATAACTGTAACCCGGTCTTCAAATATCCATAGTAAGTACCTAATAATTTGTTTTGAGTGCAAACAAATATAGGCACAGGAAAATAATAATCGTGGAATTCTAAGCAGGCCATTTTTTTGTAGTTTTTGCAATTATTGTTTTAGTCTGACAAAAAGAGTTGTCTAGAGACAATGTAAACCAAAGTTCCTGATGGAAAAGTAATTTGTTCTTGAATTTAGACCTATTATTTATGTGTATTATACACATAAATAAAAGATAGGCCTATGATAAATTTCCGCAATAGGCCTAGTAGTACTATAATATTATTTTTTTCTATTTCCATACATCCAGATTAATTAGAATTCTATACAACTACTGAAATTCAGTAGTATTTGAAAAGTCTGATAAGTACAGCTATCTTAATAATTATATAAAGAATGTTAGGGTTGCAACAGGTCTAGTAATATAGTATTATTAGCTTTGCAAAGCCGCTAGGCCTAGCCTACATGGCCCACAGCAGCAGCAATAGTAGGCAAGATCACTCACCATGCCCATGGCATTATCTATATTAAATTTTGCTGCCTCTTTTTAAAATAAACAAGGTGCCTAGGCCAAGCCCTTATATGCTATTGCAGAATAGAGGAAATATAATACTTATTTCCTCAATGATTGATGATCATAGGCCTAGACATTGACAGCCAAAGGCATACACTATCATTATTATATGTAGCCTAGGCCTAGCCTACAGTAGGTGCTCCTTCCTACTCTACTAATCTCTCAACTTACGCCCTTTTCCTTCATTTTGATAAGCCCCACGCTTGGGTGGAAGAGTTGGATGTTGAATTAAAATGCAGCAGTAGGCACTGCATTTGTTTTTAGCTTCCTTTATTATATTTTCCTCTGTTTCCTGAAGTCAGGCGGGTAGGCCTAGCAGTCATTGTGAAATAATCACGACATAAGTCATTAATGAATGAAGTGCTGTGTTGAGTGGGCTCCCAATTAGCCTAGGCCTACGATTTCTTCACCAATTTTTGCTTCGGAAAACTTAATATGTTTACATCCAAAGGCAACATATACGGCATGGGCTGTAGGAGCTTCAGAAATACTCTTTTTTTTTTGGTAATTGTCCTGTCTCAGGGTGACATAATAACGAACTTCATCCGTGTTTTGTGTGTGGCGCGTCCAGTGACGTCAATGTGTTTGTTTACGTTTTGTTTCGGCAGGAAAGACGTTATCACCACCTAATTAGCATATTGTTTACTATGAATTTCTGAAACAACTGAGCGATGCTATAATATAGTCTCTTAATTGCCCTAAAATAGCATGAAAAGTGCGAAAAAAGATTCAACGCATTACTACAGTTTATTTTATCTATCCTTTATATGTTCTGGATATATTTCACAAGTCCTTTAACATACTTTAAATGCGACTGACCTTTTATAGATAGTATATAATTATGCATTCATTGTAAGAATCGGCCTTCTATAACTATCAAAATCAAATAGTATCTGTACTTTGTCTGCCAGGTGATTTTATTTAATTTTTTTTATTTTTTGCCTTTTTTCAATATTTTATATATTTTTATTTGTGATTGTATACACTGTATGTTTATAAAAAAAAAATTAAAAAAAAAAAATTAAAAAAAAAACCACAAGTATAATTATACTAAGATCGAGCGTGCACACTATGATTGCAAAGAATTTAACGGTGAAACACCGCATATTGATTCAATTTTTGTCATACCAACAAGATTACCGTTATGCTACAGCTACTGCGTACAGCTCTAAAAAATGAACGGCTTACATACTAGACGATCTTACTAACGCTGATTTGTCAGAAAAAGAAAGTGGAAAGAAGAAGGCTCTCTACAAAGAAGGCACGAAACTTTCAGCCGGAAAATGGCGTTTAGCAATTGCAGTTGTCTACGTATTTAATTAGATTGGCAAGTAACAGGACACATTAGAAGGACATTTACTGTCGAAATGTCATTTATGTTAACCGTTAATTATATGAAATGTTTGTTTTTGCTTAGTATAGGCCTATATTGAAATAAGTGACAATTTATATCCAATTTAAAGTTTTATGGTGGTCTTGCCTCGCCATTTTGTAATTTCTTTTTAATGAAAATTATAACCATCCCTGCATTTTGCATGCCATCATTTACATACATTTCACAACCATGATTTGTTAGCTTAAGATTCATGATCAACTGCATTGCAATTGACTACTGTACGTAATATACATTTTTTTTTCTCCCCGACGAATTGTGGATTCCCCCCCCCCCCCCCGCTGGTGCCACCACTGTATTATATTAGTGTTTATATTTTTGAAGAGTTTATAGTTTTATTTATAAATATTTCGATGTATCATAGATTATTGTTATTGAAAATGTTTACTTTTACAAAACTAAATAAAACTTCTTTTCCAGTGATTTTGCTCTTAACACGTTATATTTTCATTGCGGATTTTTTGGGCTCAGTACGGACTCCAAAAGTATGCATTTTCTTTTAGTTTTATAGCGTATGCGGATTTTATAAGTCCGCAATGACGATATAACGTGTTTCTTATTGATATAGGCCTATATGACAAAATAACAAAGGCCATCATCAGTAATGACTTCACTACTGGTATTTTTCTTGATCTGAGCAAGGACTTTGATACTATTGTCCATGATAGATAAATAAACTTAAAAAAAAATAGTATAAGAGGCCTGGCTCTAAATTTATTTAAAAACAACATTGGCAACAGGCAGCAATATATTTCTATCAACTTTTTTCTCATCCTTCTAAAATACTATGTGGTGTCCCACAAAGATCAATACTTGACCCCTTATTATTTTTAATTTATGTTATTGATCTTCCGAACTCTTCTTTATAACACTTTGTTCTCTCCGCCGATGACACAAATATCTTTTACTCAAATTATAATATAGCAAATCTTTCCCAAATGATTAATACGGAGCTAATTAAGGTATCTGAATGGTTTAAATGAAACAAATTGTCTCTGAACATATCTAAAACAATTTGATTCTCTTAATTAAAAAATAAAAAACAATATTTATTTTCTATAAATATTGATAACACCATTACCAATAAAGTCAATGAAACTAATTTTTTCTGGAATAACCTTAGAATTATCATATCATATCAACAACATTAACAATATTATTTCTAGAAATATTGGTTTTTTTTATGAACAAGTTAAAATATTATTTTCCTGAAAATATTCTTTTATCTTTATATAATATTTTAGTTCAACATTACATTATTTATTGTAATGTCTCATGGGCTACCACAATTGATAATATCTTAAATTTATGCCCCTACAAAAGTCCTAAAACAACCAATATTGATAACTGTTTAAAGTTACAAAAAAACTCTATCAGAATTTGTGCAGTTCAACGCGATATTCACATACCAAACAATGATTTTATAAATGTAATGTCCTTTAATGTTTTGGACCTAAGTAAGTTACAACTTATACCTTTATGTACTGTCACTTCACAAAAACATATTTCTTCTTTATTTCATAAACAACAGAGTGACATTCATTAATATAATTATATTAAATAAATTAAAATCACGGAAACCACACCAGTTTACCATTTAATATTTATTTTTTTCAAAAACCACATCCAACAGCAATTACTTGCCAATAACAGGATGTCATAGAATATTTACAAGCATATAAATATAACAAAGATATAAATAAAAAACACACACAAAAGAAACAGGGTCACAAGTCACCCCCCTAAAAACACACGCACATCTCCCCACAGACCCCCACACACTCATCCCCAGCCCAAACCCAATCAGATCAATCATGTAAATGCATGCAGTACATGTAATAAAATGGTTTTAAATGAACTTAAATTTTGATGGAATATATCAATAGTAGGATTTTCATGTAACAAAGTATTATAAGTAAAAGGTAAACGATGAATGAAACCATTTTTTCGTACAATTAACTCTGTTAAACGGAACCATCTGTTCATGCTTTTAAAAATATTTTTCCTGTTGGCGGCTTATTTATTTTGTTTTTATCGCCCAATTATTCTACACTAGACTACCAATAAATATAAATATTTTTTTCTTTCAAATTATAATTAATATTATACCTCTAGATCCATTTTGTTTATCTTTTTTTTAAATGGTGACCATGCCTTAAAGTCTGCCTGCCAACTTATTTTGATTTCCATCCACATACTTTTTTTTTATTTGCTAAAATTCTTAAGTGTTAATATTAGCAACTGATATATACCAGTATTTAGGGTTTTTTTTTTCTCTAATTGTTTTTGTATTATTAAGTTGCCGTTGAATTATCAATGTACTGTTTCATTGTGTGTGGTATAAAACAACAAATCAAACAAACAGAACAACGTCTTTGGTTTCTAAATAGAGTGAGTTAAATTAGAGGGAACAGCTAATGTTAACAGATAGAAATTTAAACAGGGACACAACAAAGTTGTTTAAAATTGGAGGTGGTCTTTAATTGGATGTGTTTTTAATTAGAGGGAGGCTTTTGTTTATTTAATATCAAAGTTTACCAACCTGGTTAAAGTCCTGAATCACACAACGGCTTGAGTTTTTGGCTGTGATGTTGAAGCGAAAACGAGATTGATTAAAATCATACGTCATAACCGCACGTTCTTCTACTAATGATTCGAAGTATGGGGCAGCTTTAGCACCGTAAACTTCTGACACAGAAAAAGTGAACGACTGGTATTATTGTTCAAGTAAAAAAAATAATAATAATATTAAATGTTTTTATCCACCAACCAAAATACCTGCAAACAGTGCATCGGCTCTAGAATAGGTCTATGTATTGAGTGGGGCCGCGCCGGGGGCGCTTGGCGAGAGGGAGGTGTCGGAATATTCTAATTGAACTATGACACTCCTCATTCCTCCGTGAATTAAAGACGATTATTACAAACTATATTTTCTCATGAGAAATAAGGTAAAGAATAGATTTTAGTAAAAATTTAGGTAGATCAACGCTTAAACTTATTAATATTTGGTCGTTATACTGGAACACTAAAATATTAACAGTACCAAAACGATCTTAAGAAAGTATAATACATACTCCAAGTATTGAAATACACGCCATCGTGTTGGGATTCAATA